ATTTTTGTGGCACCTTTCAATGCTTGCACTCTCCTACCATTTATTTTTATTACTACTAGTACTACTACTGTGTGGAGACCAAACCAGCTTACTAGGTTTATGGATCTGAGAATTCAAGAGGCAGACAAAATGTTTGCTGTATGCTGATTGAGCAGGTCTTTGGGGCCTGAAAGATGAGGCCTTGAGTTCAAAACAGGGAATTTCAGGGGAGTTTTGGCTAATACGACAAACTGGGGTGCCCAAGAGGCTGGTACTTTCTCACCTCTGCTGCTCCTCAGGTGGAAGTGACAGTTAACAGGATAAAAGTACAGATGGTGCCAGAAGACAATGCTCTCCAGTCTTGCAGAGGTCTACCTGGCAGAGCCTTTGATTCAAAAAAGCACTTAAGCTTGTGCTTAACTTTCATGAGATTGAAGCACATGTTAAGTCCCCTGAAGTGCTACAATATATGCTTAACTTAAGATACACACTTAAATCTTACTAAGATTAAGCACAGGTTTATGTGTTGGAGCCTCAGTGGGTGTTTGTTCTTCTTTCATTTTGTCCAAAAAATATGATACTTTGATTTTTATCTTTCTCTGCTGTTATTTAATGGGGTGAAAGACTCACACTGACTGTGAGATATCTTCTAGGATATAAAAAGAAAAGTGGGGTTTTAAGGTAGAGTAAGAAAGACTTTGCGTAATCCTGTTGTAAACCTGGTAGTTTGCAGTCAAGTAGTGTACGCGGGATGGGAAAGAAATCAATAGAATTTCTGTGCAGAGGAATAATAAATATATATTATATAGTTAATGCTCTGTATATAAGTTGTATTGATAATAACTTAGCATAAAATGTATAATGCAAAGCATTGCAGTATCGTTTATGATGCAGTCATGATTTTAGGCAGCAATTACGACACGGGAAAAGCATTAGCCAGAAAACTGAAATCTTGATTAACAATTTGACATCCTAGTACTAAGAAAGGGAAGGAGAATAGAGAATGTAACAGACTGAGTCCCCAGTTTTCAACCTCCCTAAAAGTTTTCACTGGCACTCACACGTATCTGAGCATATGTGTTGTAGGTGCATCGGAGTCCACGTATTTGAACTTGAACAGCTAAATTAGACCTGCTAAATTTAGATTTAGGTACTTAATTAAATGGTCTGCATTCTTTGAGATACTGAATAGTTAGCGCATCTTTTAAATGCAGACAAGCTGCCTTTTTCATGTTAAAGAAGACATGGAAATTGAAAGCGAACAGAACAAAACCTCATCTGTGTGTAGGCAAGACGGCTGTATGCACGTGTATGGGTAGGAATTGCATAACTGGTAGCTTTTTTCCTTCAGGCTACTGCTGGTTCCTCATAGAGCTCTGACTCTCTTCCCATCTGAGTGGAGGAGCTGTGATGTATTGCTCTATACAGAAGATTTCAAGCATATAGAAATGGCATTCCTTTTAATGTGCAGCTTGGTGCTTTACTGTCAGTAAAACAGTTGGCAAATTTTGCGGGGGATTTTCCCCTCCCCCCTGCTTTGTTTGTTTGTTTTTTAATACATGCTGCATCTTCACTGTCCACAACAGAAGGAGAAGTTTGCTTAGATTTCCACATCCTTGATTTTAAGAGTATTTTTAACATACTGGTATCTATCTTTTAAAGTGCAGTATTTTAAAATATATTGCCACTTCCGTGGCAGCAGGGTACGATGGGCTGGCCCTAGCTCTGGAATGAGCCCTGATCTGTGGGTAGTCTGGTTTTGCAGCCCAAGGGAGAACGGTGGAGGGAAGGGAGGTTGTCCCTAGTGAGTGGAAACAGATTATATTCTTTATCAGCTAATGCAACTGGCATGTAAATCCTTACCTCTCAAAGCCAATTTAAGTATGTTTTGGGAGCTGAATCCTGCCGTATTCTCCTCTTTATCTGTACAAAACCAAAGCATGGTCTGGCCAGCTGTTTGCATTGGCAAAAACTAAAGTTCTTTTCCCTTCCCCAAAACCTGACAGCATTCTCTGTAAATCATGCAAAATGCTGCGGTCCATAGTAGAGGCTGTAATTTGCATGTATGCTGGGATGAGACTGTGGCTTTCCTTATACTGGGGACCCAGACTTTGTGAGAAGTTGTGCCATATGGCTTTGGCTGCGTTATGCATGTAAAGGTGCACGGTTTTCTCCAGCCATTATTCATCTGTTCCTGAGGAGCAGTTGTCTTCCCCTGCCACGTTATGGTAGTTCAGTCGAACAGCTACAGAGATGGGGGAAATAATCTGTGCAGCAGATGAGGCCAGAGCAGATGAGCTCAGTGTCCCATCTCTCATCCTCATGTGCCGCAGCACCCATTTCCTCTGATGCCTGCCACCGCCCCTTTCCGTGATAGACCGAGCCGGGGCTTTCCCATTGATCCTTCAGATCTGCACAAGCGCTGCCTCATGCACGTGCTGCAAGGGACGCTTTGGTCCACGGCACCTCTGTCGCGGAGCCCATGGCCCTGCTCATCTGGTACCAACCGAACACAGCTTTTCTCTCAAACACTGATAATTCAGGTGAACTGTTTTTGTAATCTACATGGGCATCAGGAGAAGGCCTTTCTATTTATTTGTCATTGCTGACAGAAAATAAATAAAACGCTCAATGTGGGAATTAAGCATGATGCACTCTCTGCTTTAGTGAGCGGGGTAACCCCCCACCCCCTCCCTCATGTGCCACATCCTCATGTCAGAAAAATAGTATGTGTCAGCTTTGATTTATTTTCCTCCTTTCCCATACTATCTTCTTTTGGTCCAAACTTCATATTCCACAGCACATGCCCCAGGTTGCAGCATCTTTATCAGAGATTTTTGTTACTGCAGGAGATGACTGGTAACATAATATTGCCCTTGGATACTCCGGAGGCTTGTGCTCGGGGATGTTGAGGGAAGGGAAAAGGAAGAAGATAAGGTCAATAATCCAATTTATCTGAGGTAATGAAAAGGAACTCCAGTGATTTCTCACCTCTTTAGGATTTCTGCTAGTGGGCCTGAATTAAAATTTCCTTGCTCTTCATTTTTGGTAAAGCAGAAACAATTTGCTGGTACAGCCATGCTTCTGCCTCTGTGATCTGCAATGTCCACACGTTGTTCTCCCTTGCGCTGTGAATTATGATTTTTTCCAGCATAACATCCAGTCCTTTATCTAGTCCACTGCTGGATTCTGAAACACTTTTTATTTTTAAGGGAGGGTTGGCATCATCCTCATTGTTTTAAGAACACCCGGAGCTTAAATGCTTTGTCTGTGTAGATGCAGTGGGACAGTGGCAGAGCAAAGCCTGGCTCCCTGGGTACAGGGTATGATTCAGCAAAGCCTGGATCCCTGGGTACAGGGTATGATTCTGCAGGAATGGCAGTCCTGCCTCACTCTCTTTGGGCTGCTGCTAAGTTATTTTTAGGCTTTTTTTGGGTGCTAACTGCAGGAGGGTTTCAGATCCTTGCTTGCACTCCATGTGCATTTTGGTACCATAAAGTCAGTGAAATGAGATATGTTATGTGCCCGTGAGGAAGATCCTCAAGTTCTGCTTTAGCATCCATAGCATTATAATTGAACATATGCAACACTGGAACTCTGGCTGCCATTTAATTTTTATTTTTCATGCAGAGTTCAAGTTTTCAGGACACAATTACTAAATGAGGAAAACCCCAATCACGCTGTTCAGTATAAAAGACTTTTATGCCTAAAGCAGCTAACCAGGAAGAAATTTAAACAAATGGTCATATTAACACATTACAATTAACTCCATCAGACTTCCTGTCTTATTCTTCTAGTAGAAAGGTTTTATTTGGTTTAATTTGTTATTTGTAACCTAGTGCAGGCTCCTGCCTCTTGCAATATGAATTGATTTGGCACTGAATCAAAAATTGCAGGGCCAGATTTCTAAAAGTAATGTTTTCTACTTAGGTTCCTAAATCTAACTTTTCCAAAACCTCGTTTTCTGCTTAAGCGTAAGGGGGGAGAACTTAGGTTTTCAAAATCATTCTCTGCATAAGGATGTGTTTTACTTGCAGTACTCAGGAGCTAAATTCTTCCGATATTTTTGTCAGCTCACTTAAAGGATTTTTCTCTCTAAAGGATATGGTCATAAATTTGTGTACAGAGGACACTTGGAAATCACCCAGGATTTCCCAGGAATTTTTCGTGAGAGATTTGTCACTACTGTTTTTTAAAAAATTTCTCTATCTGGGAGTAGGTTTTTCCCAACAAAAAACCCTAGTAAAATCACTGATTTTAAGTGATGTGCAGCCATTTAAGTGAATCTGATGGAACAGTAAGTAGGTATGCGGACTAAATAGTCCCTAGAATAACAAATACCGAAATGGAGCAAAGTCTGCTGCTCTGTATTTCGCTTGGGTAAAGGCAGGTTGCAACTCACTGCCTGTCAGTACATTGGTAGAGCAGGTAATATTTCATTTGTGCTCCCGGGACAGAGCAGAATCAGAGCAGTTGCAGCACCTGATGAATTAGGAGAAATGTTTCATTTTAACTAAATATTGACAAAAAGCCTACTACGGAAGGGTGAAAATCAGTGTTGTTAGTATACGCAAATACTTTCTGATGGCAGCATGGGCACAGTAATTTTGCATCGAGGTTAAAAAAAAAAAAATCTTGTTTGAGATCCTTTGCATCCTTGTTTGCTATCCTTTGCATGTCAAAAGTATGTGCCAAACAAAAAGGGCTGAGATCTTAGATATAAATTTAACCAGGACAGACTTTAAATGTAGTCCCATTGGACTTGGTTCTTATATTTAGAAGGACTCTGTCCTCGCTGTTCTTGTTATTGTGAAGAGACTTTAAAACCAGCATTGTTTGGGGGTTTTTGGTTGGTTTTTTTTTTAAATAATCAAAACATTCTCAGGAAGAGACCTGAGCACTGCTGTAGAAGTAACCAGGCCTCGCTGTCAGTGAGGACGCTATTATTTTGTGAGTCGCTCCGTTTGATTTCAAAGGGACAGAAGTTACCAGCCACAGGTTACAAAAATCTAAGTCTCCTAGGTTGTGAGGTCTGCAGGCTTTTTATCCTCAGTTAAATTTCTGTTTTAATACAGAAAATATCACTGATGTATTTTGCACCAGTATGAGATTCGAAGAAGGCTAACTCATACTGAAACTTCTGCGCAGCACTTCCGTGCTGAGGTGGTAAAGGAGAGTTATTGCACAGGGAAGCTTCCAATTAAGCAGAAAAAGGAGTTGGTTTGCTTTTTGAAATAACATTTGACATATACACGGTAAAATATGAAAGCTATTTGTAGGAAGTTAATCAGTTCAGTCGCCTGGTTTCAGGTTGTATCAGCTAGACAGCGTTCGTAGCTTGTGCTATGAAGTCTCCAGCCAGCTGCCATATATTAAAGATACTTATGAAACAACAGTGTCTCACTAATAACCCTGACTCAGTCAGTCCACTTCACCTTTCATCTTAGTATTTGTTTACACAACAGCAAGTTAACTTGTGTACTTTAGATAGTGGTGTAGCTGAAGAGCAGTAATATTTCATTATTATTTTTCCTGGAGGAGACATAGTTGTAATGGATGCATGTTAGTGCATGTTAAAAAAAATGAAATGTGAAGTTTCAGCAGTATTTTACTGTAATTTAGAGGTAAATATTTGAAATAACACCTTTTAATTAATACTTTATTTAATTGTAAAATGATAAAACCCCACAGATTGATTTATTTATTTTATTTATCAGGGCTGTTCCCTGGCACCAGCCCCTATTACTAAGCCTTTACGAAAGGTAATACTTTGCAATTCCAGCTTACCTTGCCTTGTCAATTCCTGAAGTAACTTTAGATAATTAAATTCCCTCCGCTGGAGAACAAGGCTTTTTAGGCATTCTTGGTTTTGTCTGGCTTTAGATCTTAAATTTGGAGTTGAAAAGAAACATCTTTTTTGTTTGGTTAGATGTTCCTCCCCCTCTTCCAACTCAGAAACTCTCTTTTTTTTTTTTTTTTATCACTAAAGTTTGAGGTTTTTCTGCCTTGGTTTAGCTCTAAAATAGAGAAAAGATTTGCTACTTAAAGTAGACTAAAAATATTTTGCAGTCACAGTGTTGAAAAGCTAAAAGCTTGCTTAGTCACATTTTAGTATATGTCCTTCTTAGAAGTAGTTCTTATTTTAATAAATCAATTTAAGTTTATTAGAGTCAAACTGTAAATACATAGATAGCTATAATTGTGAAATACACACCATGCTTATTGTTATCGGTAGCCTCGTGTAGTCGTGTATGCCACTTGTTTAATAGATCTACAGTTTTTAGTATGTCTTTGCTGCCATCACCCCTAAAGATAGGAAAACATTTTAAACACAGTCAGGGACTGCCATGAGAGAAGAAATGTATTTAGGTAAAGACTTTTTGTGAGTGGTTGTTTAGTTTGAAGTGTGATTAATTTCAGCCTATGAATAAAAACTTTTACTTTTCACAGAAGTGTAAGGGAAGTGAATAAGGATGTCAAGGTTGTTATTTTGTTATTAAGAAATAATACGGAGAACTGCTTACAAACCTACTAGGAAAAGGCAGCAGGAGAAATAATTGGAAAACAGTCTTCTCAAGGCACTGAAGTGATAAAGAAGGCTGGTTTGCTACTATCTCGAGTGGGCATCAGACAGCAGAGTTCTTGGAAAACCAGCAAAATCTTCTTATTATTCAGTTTTTACTCTTATTGTGCACCCTTCTATTGGATAATTGTCTCCCAGACTAGCTGTGCTAAATGTAAAAGCTGCCAATCAATAGCACGAAGGTGTGACTAAAATTACGGTCATTCCACAAGTCTGCAGCTTAAACAAGGAGGAGGAATCAAATGACTGGACAAAAGTATAACGAGCACATCAAAGCAGTTATTTACCCAGTATTAAGCCAGTAGGAAAAATGAATTCATGCTAGCTTTAAATAGATACAAAGGTTATTTAAGGTAAGATGTGCTATTGTAGCAGATTCTGTCTGTTGCAAGAGAGGAGCAGACTACTGGTGACTTTGTGGTGAGTGGTTTCATGTCGTCTTTGCCACTGAACTGTAGTGCAGTGACTATGAATTCCTGACCAAGGCTTTCAGCATCTCTTCAGCTGCTAGTTTATTGAGGAATAATTCCTGCTTGTATGTGGTTTCCAAAATATCAAAGATAAGTGGGTGATGTAGTGGGCAAAACACATTATCTGCATAGTTTTAAATACAGTAGGAGTAAAAGGAAAGACTTTACACTTGGTAAGAAACTCACTACCTTCTTTAATGTTGTCATCCTGAAACTGAAGCTATCATTCCTGAATACTGAGAAACGTGTCAAAGGAAGGGGTTTTGCCTCTTTTCTCAGACAGCGAAAGCAAAACAGAAAAGAAGAAAAAAATATATATATTTTTCTACTGCAGTCTCTTTACATATCTCTGTTAGGGACATTTTGAAATGATAGAAAAGAAGATAATGGCTAATCAGATCCTTTAAGTATAGTGTGGGAGTTTAAAAGGCAAACCACAAACTCCTTATCAATTCCAATGAGCTCATGTTCAGAAGAGCTTTATGCCCTGATTTTTTTATTATTAGCCCATAACCTTCTTGGCAAGATTGTAGGAACCTTAGTATCTTTTTCAGTGCATCTGCAGTGGTTTCAGATATAACTGCATGTGAAGTGAAGTTGCAGAGGTATGGCATATATATGGCACACCTGCCTTCTGCTGCTCTCCTGGCAGGACCTAAATGCTGGCAGTGATTTCAACCACTGAAACAAGAATTGTTCGTGGACATCTGTAAGAGGTCTCTTCTTCCCTCTTTCCGTTTGAATCAACAGACATATGTTGGACTTTACACTAGTCAAATGAACTACTTTGATGAAAAGATAGCATTAATTTTGTCCAGCAAGGGAGTAATCATTTTAAAGCAATTGAAAAAGGCTTTGGAGAGATGTGGCATATCACAAAATGTGTTTGTTTTTCACGAGAACTGTGCTTCAGGCCAGTGAATTCAACCTCAGAAAGTCCCACCGGGCATTGACCAAGGCTCCATAATAGGCGATATGCTGAAAAAAATGAATGAGACCACATACATCTGAAATTTGATGTTCAAGACCTTGTTGAACTGGGGCCCTAGTTGGTGAGAATATTTCAGCATCTAGAGCCCAGTTGCAGTAAAGTGCTTAGGCGAGTGGCCAGCACAAGTATATGTTCGTGTCCTATTGATTTCCACTGTACCCAGTGGGACATAAGTAGATGATTAGAGCTGACTGCCTGCCCAAGAATGCTGCAGTAGACTGAGCGTCCTCAACAAATGTTGACAAAGTATGGTTTTGATAATATTTCACAAAACCTGTGTGAGGGGGGTTCCTCTAAATAATAATTTAAAAAAAAAAAAAAAAAGGTGTTTGTTGTTATGGACCCGATCCCCACTGACCAGGGCAAATATGAAGGATTACCACCAAAATAAGTTTTGCGTGTGTGTGTGTATGCATGGGGGTGAAGGGAGAGGGTAAAGTGTAGATTTTATGGGGTTTGTTTGCTTTTTTGTTTTTAGTCAAATAAGTCTTTTCAACTAGTTTTACTTCGAGCATAAATTTGCTTATTTCACAGTTTAATGGCATAAAGTTTTTCTCAGTGTTTGCTACTGCCCAAAGCTTGTGGGCCTGATCCTCACTTACACTGGTTCTCTTCATACCACTCTAGCAATGCAAAACAGCCTTGAAAAAAGGATTTCAATTAAAGTATAGTGCAACCAAAAGATTTGGTTTGAAGCGAAGACCTTAACTTCTGTGCGAGACCAATTGTTATGTTGAGTTTTAAATAGTCATGTGGATTGGACCTGTACTAAAAATAAGTGCAAAACCATAGAGATAAATACTACAGTTATGGATCTAAATTTTGAGCAGAACTCATCTTTTATGAAAGATAAAACCTCTGAAGTGGAGAACTTTATGAAAATCAGGTTGTGTTAATCACCTTAACCTGATGCTGCAGAAGTAGAGAGCCCCAAATTGCTAATGGAGGCTTTGCCCTTTGTGCAAAAGAAACGGCCTCTGACTTTAGCAAGTACTGTGTGATGATGGTGACTGGGGACCATGTCTATGTAAGATGGCACTGTTACAAAGAGGGGGATAAGGGGCACTATGCATCTTCCAATGTTTCTTGACAGCTCCCTCCCTTCCATTGCCCTTCCAGGTGAACGCCCCTTCCACTGTAACCAATGTGGAGCTTCTTTTACCCAGAAGGGGAACCTGCTGAGGCACATCAAGTTGCACTCTGGGGAGAAACCATTCAAATGTCCCTTCTGCAGCTATGCCTGCCGACGGAGGGATGCCCTCACAGGACACCTCAGGACGCACTCTGGTGAGCCCACCTTGTCTTCTCTTCCATCTTGTTTTTTCTTTTGTCATTACCATTCAAGTGAAGCAGGTTATGAAAAATAACTGTGTGTTCCTGGTGGCTCTGGGTCTGTACCATCCTCTTCAGGTAGTGCAGCTCTGAACTTTGGGAAAGCCTTGATGTGAATCAGAAAAGTTGTGGTTCAGCCACACCTCTCCTTTTGTGTAACTGAACTCCTCTGCTGATGCTATCGCATTTCTCTTTGAATGTCTCCTTGGGTGTATCCAGGCTTCACTGGCTGCTTGTTTTGACACTCTCAGCCCCAAAGTGGCTGTGAAATTCCAAAGATCACAAAGAATAACTGTGTGCTCTTGGAAGCCTGCTTTGCAGTTCATACCCATTTCTTCATCTAATAAATGCCATATGCTGGTGGAGTTCATACTTGTTCATCTTTCAACAACCTCCTAATTGCACTTTTGATTCAGTTCCATCTTGCTGTAAAGTCCTAATTCATGGCAGCCACGGCACTTACCCAAGAGCAGAAGGTGGCGGAGAAAGATTGGGTTTGTCTTACCTTGCTACTTGATAGTATCGTGTCTATATCAAATCTATGTGATAGAGTTTCTTGATATGTTCTAAAGAAATACCCATCGTGTAACTGCATACTAGCAGTCACATTGGTAGCCATGATGATCAGAGTCAGGTGTGTTTCTAGTCCCTGTATGCTACACCAAGGGACCGCATTCTGCCCACTTACTCATTTGTGAAGGACTCTTGAGTAAGATCTTAACTTGCAGCATTTTTTATCTCCTAGGATGTTGAACTTTGTGTCCAGGCCATTTATAGGAGAGTGTGTTTTTCATTGTTGAATGAGCAGAGATAATTGGATTGGATACAAGTGACAGCATTACAGATGAACTTTTTTGAGGTATTAGCAAATGTGTGACTACTGAAACACAGTGGTTGAAGTGCAGCCGAGCCACAGACAGAAACTCTGCATGTGAAATGTAATCATGGAGCTTCCTGACTCATTTTATATGTGTTTCTTCTACAGGGTCAGCCCCACTTCAGTAGAGGTTTCTGTTTTATGAGCATTAGGTTGCCTTGACATTTCCACAAATCAGAAAGGATAAGCTAGTAAGCTTCTCCAGGTAGACTTTGGAGTACACAGGAAGCTGTATTGATGCAAACATACTGCTGACAGAAAGCGTGAGCTTCCAAGGGAGTGCAAGTGTGGGACTAGACTGAGAGAGAATAGCTTGAGAGTTGTCAGCTGAGAGGATTATATCTGAAAGTCAAAGGGAAAATGTCTGTGGAACTGTGAGTTATAATTTTCACATATCTGACCATAACTGTAGTTTCAACTTGAAATTTAGTAAAAAAGAAAACACGATAAAAATACAATTAAAATATAAAAGAGTTGTGACATAAAATAGCCCACATTGCAATACACGAACATTGCGGTTGAAGATTGTTTTCATAATATGAATATAGATTTTGTTACCTAGATACAGCCATTGATAGAGATTGTTCATTCTTCCTGTGTGAAAAGTACACGACTGATGTTTCTGCTTTTTGCATAAGGATGAAATATAAAGGCGTGGGTTTTTCAGAAGGCACCTAAGCTGCTTCGACACACAAGTTCCCCTGGAGCTCCTTCCCTAACTGACTTAGCTGTGCTCAGCTGTGCTCTATTTGTAATTTTATGTTTTGTTTTCAGTGGAGAAAGTTTCACCCCTTTAAGCAGTGGGCTACATCAGTTTTCAGCAGAGGACCAGCAGGAACAGTCAAGTGCTTCCACAACACTCCCCAAGACAATTCTTAGCACTCACAAACAAAGAGTTAACCCTATTGCCCTAAAAATTGTCTCCCACCTACACGAAGGTGAAATGCCAATCTGAATATAAGCATGGGAGTTAAGGTGTCCTTCTGTCCCTGTTCTATAGGCAAGCTTGGTTGGTTTATGCGTAGATATGTGAACCTGGTTTGTGGAGAAGATGGGTAGATGTTCCCTAGAGATTTTAAACAGTTTTATATCAGTGTACTATGCAAGTACTTTCTGCTTTAATAAAGCACACATTGAAGTGAAGGCTCTGGGGAGATCTTATTGCGGCCTTCCAGTGCCTAAAGGGGGCCTACAGGAGAGCTGGGGAAGGACTTTTTACTGGGGCATGTAGTGATAGGACGAGGGGGAATGGCTTTAAACTGGAAGAGGGCAGGTTTAGATTAAACATGAGGAAGAAGTTTTTCACTTTAAGGGTGGTAAGGCACTGGGACAGGTTGCCCAGAGAGGTTGTTGAGGCCCCATCCCTGGAGGTGTTCAAGGCCAGGCTGGACGTGGCCTTGGGCAACCTGATCTAGTGGGAGGTGTCCCTGCCCATGGCAGGGGGGTTGGAACTCGATGATCTTCAAGGTCCTTTCCAACCTAAACCATTCTATGATTCTATGAAGTCCGTAAGTAGACCTTGAAGGTATAGCAAATCTAGTAAACTTCGTTGAATGTTTACATCTGCTAGTTGTGACCATAAGAGAGGATATCGGATAAAATATAGAAAGAAGAGGTTGAAAACTATTTTGAAATATGAGACTTCAATCCAGTTTCAATCTGGTACACTTAATGTCCAAATTGAGGTGTGTCTGAATATGTTTTTATGTTTATAAGAGGAAAGCTCTTTAGATCAGATCCTCAGCTGATATAGATTGGAATTACATCCCCTAAGCAAGGAAGGTATTACTATTTTGCACGAGCTGAGAATCTGGCTACATGATTTCATAAATGCAAGACCAATTTCCTTTTTCATGTTGTATGTCCTTTTCTTCCTTAAATAAGAGAGTCTTATCAATCAAAAAACCCCACTCTTATTGCCTTCCCAGAAGGTTTTAAACTACTAATTTTTTATGGAAGGCAGAGTATGCAAGAAAGAAATTTATATCTTTTTTTTTTTTTCGTCCCAGATAGTTTGATCTGTGAATTTGAAAGCACTTTGTTTGTATCACTACGTAGTTACACCCTCTCACTACAGCCAGTTAGTCAATTTTTCCTGTGCTTAGTGCAGGGTTTTCATACAGTAAGACAGGAAAGGTGAAAAAGTAAGGAAATATAACTGCAAACAGAAATTAGCAGAAGCATCTCAGAGATATTCAAAATAGCTGAAACTACTATTAACTTAAAATAATAATTTGTGAAAGCTTCTTTCCTTTGGATAGATTTTTTGTTCATGCTTTTTAATCTTATTTCCTATTTCTTTGAAAATGTTTCTAAGCATCACAATCCATATTTTGCCTTCCTTTCTTGTACAGCATAATATCTTTCTATATAAGTGTTCCCAGGATGAGTGGTTAACAAAATATTATTTCTCAGCTGTAATGCTGCTGCTGTTTAACCCTAAATAATTAAGGACTTATCTTGCAGTGATTTACTCCTGCGATTATTTACCTTTTACTGACATATGGAGTTCTGATGAACTTTGTGTCTATATTTTCCTCCCACATGCAGCTTCTTTGATTTCAGGAATATAATGATGCCTTCAGGACATCAGTAGGATAACGCCTGGGGAGAGATTCATGCACAGAATTACACTAAGAGTGGGCATGAGCCTCAAGGTACTTACAGGACTTTCAGATGTTGTTTTCAGAATTAACTCCATAGTTCCCCAACACAGATAATACAGAAGAGGTGCCTGAGTGGGCTTCCAGGACATGAGTGTAAGGATAGGCTGTGGAGGGCTGGCGCAAAAGTTGGTAGCCTCCTCCTGCAGGGTGCACTTGTCACAGGATTTGACACACCTGCAGGTT